GTTGTAAAACTATAGGGAGCCACCTTAACCACAAACTTAAATTGTAAAAAAAAAAAACATGACTAGTTCTATACAACCTCTAGCTACGCATCTGGCTCAGTGGTTCAAAAGATTGATCCGCTATCATAGGGTAAATTACTATCCAATCTGGGTTAGTGAGTTTTCGGGTGGATAGAGTTACCCATCCTTTATTGAACCTGGCCCCGGCAGAAGCGCTGTTCTGGTCTAGATCACATTGCTTTGAGAAGACTGATGAATAGCACTATAGCAAAAAGCCTATTCTCACAGCATTGATACCAAAGCAACGTTTGCCAGCTATGAGTTTCTGGCCATCGTTAAGCATATTGGAAGCGGGTTTTTCGGTGAATCATGCCGGATTACAAATCGCAGGAAGTCAAAAAAAGTGAAAATGTTAGTTAGAAGAACTTCCCTTTGGCAGGTAATATATCTGACTGAACTTTTAACTGGAATTCGCGAGACAAATTATTCCGATCTGTTTGTAGATACCAATTTTAACTGAACTATGTACTGACATAAATACAAAAGACTGTCGGAAACATGTTTTACTTACGAAATAAACTGCCGCTCTTTGGTAAACAACCTGCTCTGTAAAAATGTCTAAAATTTGGGTCAAGTGTACTAACGATTCGGCGGCACCCGGTGGAAAGCGAAAACGTCTAATACATCTCAAACAACTAATTAGAGGACAAATACTATCGTCAAAATATAACACATGTAGTTTCTGGAAGTCGCACGATGTACGAAGTAGACTCAACCAAAGTTACAATAACTAGACGACTCTTAATGAAATTTGAGATCGCAAGAACCGCACCAAGAGCTTGGTGTGAAATCGACATCTCGTCACAAATGTCTAGCATTCGAAAGCAGAAAACCTATTTAAAAAATACAGTTAGTTTGGCGTTGAGATTGAATTGTTTTACCTTTATACTACAAATGCGGGCAAGCAATTTGCTTATCAGTACAAAGAACTAATAATACAAGGACTTTAAACGCCTATACCTGGTTGCCCTCAGAACAACACCCAGCAGTCCATTGTTTACTTTTCCTGATGTTTTAGGGTCGGGCCTCAAACACCACTCGAAGAATAACCCAAGCTGATTTTAATACACATTTTACGACCACATAAAAGTGTTCCAAAGGCGAAGTTTCAAGGAATTTAGAGTTATGGCACATGTCGGAAAATATTTCTGAATTTTGTTAGTAAATCAGGAATTTGACCAAGTAACTCGAAGGGATTTTTTAAAAAATTGTTTGTTTATTCTCGAATGGCGCTCAGGTCAAGTTCTAACCTGTTTTAGATAGCTGAATACTTTGTCTTTCAAGAAAGACAATCGATAACTTGTGGTTCTCCTTTACGCACAAACGCAAATGAAGTTTAGATTTCTAATTTTCAGCCTTTGTGTGCGGCCATTTTGGCGACAGTCGAGGCGAAAATCGTTTTCCTCGATTTTCTCGAATTTAAAGCGCTTTGAGCTCAAAAAACTACATCACGTTTCATATCTACATAAGCGCTATTCGTGCACGAAAAGAGAGAGAAATCGATATTTCGACTTCTGCCGCCAAATCCCTTAAATTTTGCTCGATTTTTGGTGACATTTTCTCTTAATTAACTAAATTCCATAACACTTCACTCATTTTTTTTATTTTCTTCAGCTTGATCTAAACGACCTGACCTCATCTGATCACATGATTTCATGAAGCTGGCGTCAAAATGTAACAAAGCTTCAATGACGCCTAATTTACGTTTTGAACGATGTTGTGTAGATTTTTCGATGTAACCCTTACTTCTTCATTATGTAGGGGCTTTTGTTGTGCTTTTAGATGCGTTTTCTCCATTAAAATTCATATCAGACTTTGCGAACTACCAGAAGTCTATAAATATACAAGATAGCTTTCGATCGTTAGATATTTAGCAGTATTTGCCCGTCAAAATCTAACAAATTAGTTCTTCTTAACCATTAAACTAAGAGGCCGAGTTTTGTATTGAACAATTAGATATAAGCTCGAGATTTCTATCACGTGATAGTTGACAAGGGCGTTTAGGTGAAACTGAAACGTCGTCATTGATTGAACAAAATCACTCTCAAAAATTCCTTCGTCAGTAACCTAGGTTGTGTATTTACTAAAACAATTATTCCACCCACTCTTATTGGATACAGGCGATTATAACCAAGTCGGCGATACGCATGCGCACCTCTTTAGTTATTTTGTCACTTACATTGAACTTGAATTCATGGAGCATACCTTCCCGGGAAGACTCCTATACAAAAGAGACGGGGATTAAAAAAGCGCCCTTGGTACATCTTAGGGTGTTCAGCATCAAAAGGTGTACAGCAGGAACTTTTGCAGTATCTGAGTTTCTTCAGTTTAGAAAAAAATATGACAGGAGATATTTGACAATCAACTTATTTGTAACTTTTAAAAATAATGGAAGTGTCAGTCGATGGGTAGTTTTAAGAATTGGTACCTCCAAGAGGCTATAGATCATGGTCTCTTAGGGCTGAAAAAAAATTCAAGCCATGCCCACACAAGAAGATCTTGCAACCTCTTAGGGGATCTTTTTAAAATTTCCCCGGGACTGTTTTACCATACTTGTTGTATCTATAACTACTACTTAATCAGTCAGTTTGTTGTCCAAAGCTAGTCCATAAAGAGGATTATTCTGCTAACCCTGTGCCACTCATTGTAAGCACTGAGAAGGCTAAGCTAAGCATGAATGAATGAATGAATGAATGAATGAACTAAGGATGGTTTTCAGGGAAACAGACATTGATCAATGCTCACAATAATTTCAAATCAAAAGAAAAACTAAAAAAGATTTCTTCTTGTTTTGACTGTAACATCTGACGCTTATGAGCGTTTTCTTTTTCCTACCCTGAGCTGTTTTGCTTTGTCCACAGGATGTCCATTTGGAAATATAGTCGCCATACCACTAACAGGAGTTTTATCCAAATACGGCTTTGATGGTGGTTGGCCGTCAGTGTTTTATTGTATAGGTAAAGGCTTTAAACCAGTAATATCACTACACAAATTACTTCTGTGTATGTTCAAGAAGGCAAGAGATCATAAAAAAAAATAGTTCAAAAGGTAACAGTAAACTTATATGGCTTCATTGTAGTATCGGAGTAGCCATACCAGAGTACTTTGTTATTGTAATTTGTAATTTGTGATACGTGTAACTTGTTAAAGATGTGTTACTTTAAATAAATAAATAAATAAATAAATAAAAAAAACTTATTATATGGCTTGCTCTTGTATCCGATATAACGCGCACTCTGATTGGCCAATTGTAGGACATAATTCTCCCGTAATGCCCACGGGCCGATTACGGGCTTGCAGCAACAAAGCAAAAAGCCATGTATAAAACAGCTTATTGACCTCGAACATTCAGTCTCAGAGGGAAAATCTCAAACCTCGACCTTGCCGTATTGACCTCGCTATCAGGGAGCTTAATGACGATGACAATGACGACGGTGGCGTCGTGGACGGCTGCTGGAAAAAATGGATTTATATTTTACTTTTGAATTTCGTAATTATCAAGAACTATTCAGAATGCCGAGTGGTCTAAAACGCTACCCAAACCAAAGATGTAACGTCAACGATCAATTCTAAAAGAAAATATGAAAAATTAGCCGTCGTGGCTCACGTTCTTCAAAATACGTAAAATTTGGTCATTTCACGTTGTTTTGTAGAGGACGGCTGCGAAATGTACACAGATTTCTAACACGCGTGCACAGCCATTGTTGTACTCATTAAACCTTCTGTTTGATGAAGTTCTCATTGCCGTCACTGTCGTGGTTTGCTTAAGCAAGCTCGGTCAATACGGCAAGGTCTCGGTCGGAGATTTTCCCGTAAAGATCTCACTCTCTGTTAATAAGTAGTTATTAATTTGAGTTTCACTAACTTTTTTTCTGATTATGTTTCAGGATTGTCAGGTATAGTTTGGTATTGTGCTTGGGAGATGATTGTCCACGACTCACCCTTAGCTCATCCTACTATATCAACAGCAGAGAAAGATTTTATCGAGACAAGTATTAGAGGATCCAGTGATTCAGCTGAAGTAAGGCTTTGACTTTATCCCCCCACTGTACTCCCAAGTCTATGCACAAAAAAAGTCATTATTTTCAGCTTAATGTATAGCAAATGATGGACGGAACATGATCCCCAACAAAGCCGGGCAACTCAAAAAAAGTGGAATGCACCGGTATCCCCGGAGGTGTACTATCCATCATGGACTATACTGGGAGGCTCCCCCGAAAGGAGCACTTTTTTTCAGGCTAGAGAAATGTAATATGTTAAGGGTATCACGATCGCAAGTAAAGAAAAGGGTGGAGAGTACCCGGATTTGGGTTTTTAAATGCCATCTCAAAATATCTAGAACTGACACAACTAATGGCTGAGCTATTTCAAGTAAAAGTATCAAACTGGCTTATCAATCCAGACCTAATAGTGCTAATACAATTTAAACAGAAAAGAAATGTGGTGTGCTTACTGCAGATATGTA